GTGTTGGGATCACCTGATGACCTAACACATTTTCCCAGAATTCAAACTGCTTTTGCTTCTCTTGGGTTTGCCCCGCCTCCTCAAGTACACTGTAAAACCCGATAAGTTAACTTTACTCAAAACTTTTGGTGAAACTGATTACATAAAATATTTTGATTAACCAAAACTTAAAAATAAAAGTCACATTAACACATGTTTCTTAGTAGTTTTGGCTAAATATTTTGATTAACCAAAACTTAAAAATAAAAGTCATATTAACACATGTTTCTTAATAGTTTTGGCTAAATATTTTTAAGTAACATTAAATAATATTTTTATGTTAAATACACATATTTAATTTTGTAATCTCTACTTGGTATTCTGAGTTTTAAATACAAATATGAATTAAGTATTCAGTACTTATATTTTCTAACTGCTTTTAGCAAATAAAAAGTTGTTTCAGAATGTTAACCATTTTAAGTTAATATGACTCAAAAGTTTATATACAACAAATTCCTGTAATAATTAAATCCAGTTTTGAATTACCTAAAAAACTTGAAAATTGTGTCTACAATATACAATTCTACTTGTAAAAACATAAGACAGACAACAAATTCAAGTTACAAATTTATTACATAACTTCAAAAAAATATTTTTCAACATGTCCTGAAGCATCTTTTACAAGACTTAAAACACTTCAAAAAAAAAAAAGGAGCAAGGGAAAGAGATGAAACCCTCTTTTGCCATCAACGAATGTTGATGTTAGAAATTACAATAAATTGTTACCTTGCTTATATATATAAAAAAAACTTAAAGTCCAAAGCCATTTATATACTTAACCTTATTTGGAACTATTTCAGAAATGTTCAGTTCTCAAACTTAAAATATTAGTTAGTAATAATGTCCCATCATATTTAACAGTTTTACAGAGAATTAACAAATAATGGCAGTTTAAAAAAAAAAATCTGTGATAAAACCCTGCATTATCAGATGGGCAAATTGAAATAAAAGAAAAAAATTCAAGTTCAGTGAAGCTTATACATCCAACAATATTGGGAAACTGGTTATGCAATAACAAAGGGTTACTGGTAAACCATTAAATACATTAATAATGTGCAACCATGCAAAACAATAAAATGTTGCATAGAAAAATACTTTTTTTTAGAAACACATAAAGAATGGTTTTATAAAACTTCTTAGTGCCTTTGTTATTAAGTAGTTCCGAGGGACATTTTCCTAGGTTATATTCAAGAATCTCCCTCTGTGCCAATATTTAACATTCTGAACATTTGACCAAACTTCTCTTGTCGAGTTTATTATTCATATGAAGATGGCTTTCAATTCAGCTGTGTTTTAAAGAACTCTCACTGTTTTTTGGTATCAGAACCAACTTAGATAGTTCCATTTTAAAATCTGTAAATTTTATATTTTTAAACCTAATAAATCAGGACTGAATTATTCCATACTAAATCCAAATTATTAAAAGCTGCTTGTGATTTGTGTCCTTTATTATATTTTTAAAATCTCACAAATTATGGGTTGCTTTGCTTTACAATATGGTCAGCTCAAAACTCTGACCCGTGAAGATGTTGAAGCCAGAAATGTAGTGAGGTTGTTCTTTATTTTCTAAACAACTATGCTGTTATTTGACTGACATAAGGAATAAAATTGACAAAAGTTTTGATCTGCAAAAATACAAAGCCTGTTTTTGCCCTTTCTTTTGATTTTTAGATAATAAAAGTACAAAATACAATCTGGAAATGCCAACATTTTCTCTATTCTATTTTTAACTTATCCAGACTTGGAAAAACAATAACTGAAGTGTACTTTAACAGGCATTCCAGGGTTGTTTAGAAACCCTGGACATTACTCTTCTGCCAAAAGATCATTTTTGAGACTTAGCACTTTGGGCCTCAACTTTCCATCATCCAGACCCATCAAGACTTTCTGAATAAAGTCAAACGTGTTGGCCAAACATTTTGGGTAGCTTAGATTCAGGGCATAAGTCAGTGCAAATAATACTACAAATGCATCATCCAGGGTGGGGAAATCAATTATTATGTTACCCTCAACCAAAACTGCAACCTTCTCGGAGCAGAAAAATGTTGCATCAGTGGAATTGGCTCTCGTCAAGAGGAGTCCAAGTGGCACTTCCCCAACATCTGGTTCATCAGACTGCGTCATCTATAGAAAATAAAAATATGTTAGAGCATTCCTATTCCTGGGAGAGGGATATGGCGTTTTACTTGTGCCATCAGCTTGAGTGCGCAGCAACACTGATCTGAGAGCAGATATCAACATGAAGAAACAATAATTTGAATTGTGTGCATTCAAATCACACATATGCTTACGTGGCTGCCTCTCAACTTTGCTTCTGCTCGCTCGCAGCTCCGTCTCTGRGCTCGCAACACAAAAGTTGTATGTAAATGAACCACATCACCAGCCAATCACAGACAGYTTTTTTTCATCCAATCAAAGCTCATCATTCAAATCTACTAAACCAAGAGGAGGAAGTGACAAAATCTTAGATGTATTAAATCAGCAAAATATAATAACATATATTTTATTAATTTTGTAGCCCAGAATATTTAGTTAGGCATAAAAATGTGGTCACTGTTAGTGTGTATTTAAAAAATATATATATTTCTAAAATGCATAGCATTCATTACATGATAGTTTTGATATTATTTGTAGATAATGAAATTTTACTAAGCACTCTTGATACAACAAAATATCAGCAATGAAGAGGGGCTAATAAATTAATTTGTATGTTTAAAGATAAGATATATTTTATATATTTTGTAGCCCATAATATTTAATTAAGCATACAAACATCTTTACTCTCATTGTGTATTTTAGGTAATGTCCTGATTCATCTTTGTAATCCAGGTAGAAAAAAACACTAAGTTTAACTTTTTTAATTATTAATATTATTTTTCTTAATTACATTAAGATAAATTACTGTTGGTTTTGATATTATTTATTAAAATTAATTTATTAGCCCCTCTTCATTGCTGATATTTTGTTGTATCAAGAGTGCTTTGTAAAATTTCATTATCTACAAATAATATCAAAAACAAGTAATGAATGCTATGCATTTTAGAAATATATACATTTTTAAATACACACTAACAGTGACCACATTTTTATGCCTAACTAAATATTCTGGGCTACAAAATTTATAAAATATATCTTATTATCTTTTGCTGATTTAATACATCTAAGATTTTGTCACTTCCTCCTCTTGGTTTAGTAGATTTGAATGATGAGCTTTGATTGGATGAAAAAAATCTGTCTGTGATTGGCTGGTGATGTGGTTCATTTACATACAACTTTTGTGTTGCGAGCNCTTTAGGGAACTGATGGTTAACACTAAAGCTAGTACCACGTAGCTCCCTCCCACAGCTAATAACGTGTTCCTTCTGTTTGAAATGTTCAAATTTTGCAACAATAGCCCGTGGTCGTTTGCTGTCGTTTCTCTTACCTCCCACAGCGATACAGTTTCAACCATAGATATCAAAAGCCTTTATATCGTTGTTTTCAGCTTTGTGTGGAGTTTGTCTTACACAGATTTAATAATTTTTTGCTGTGACTTCCACATTTATCACAGGATTTATCGTGTTTTCTCTCCTTCCTGCACACGCTCCCTCCTCCGTGTGTCGGACCGGTGCGGAGCTGAGGCTGTATAAATTGGATTGCAAACGAACAGCTGCAAACTGCGCACCGGAGCGGAGTCATGCAGTTTAAATCCGGGGTTAGTGTATTTATTTCATTGCAACAAATCATTCTTTACTTTTCATCTTATGGAGAGCAAACCAACAAGATTTTATGTAAACAAGAAAAAAATAATCCATAACTAAAAGTTTGGTTAATAACAGTTTGAATTAGTTCACAATGTTTAGTTTTCTATACACTTTCAATGCCTATTTTAAGTCTGAAGTCTACAAAGAGCCAGTTTTTTTCTGATTTTGTCATTAAAATTCTCTTTAACTATAAAAAAATACAGTTGTGTAAAAATATGAGACCATCTCAAAGCTGACTCAATGTGATAAATCTGTAAGAACATTCTATAAGAACAGTTTAGTGGTAAGTTTTGTGTCACATCAGTCTTACTTGTTCTTTCAGTCTGCGTTTCTTCAGGAGCCTGAAGTTGTTGTATTCCTGGCCTTGAACTGATCTGTGTTGACTTGTTTGTTTCTGCTGTTATTTGTGGTTCAGTTTTTTCCTCTTTGCAGGTGATCCCACTGTAGTTTTGCAGTTCGCCACTAGTAGTGCCCAGATTTAGAGACACCGTCTCACTGCTGCTATTAGCTGTGGAAATAAGAATAATGTTGATTACACTGATACTGTATTACCTACAACTACAGTGAGCTGAATAGTATAAGATTTCTGACTGATTTTGTCAGTTTTATCACATTTGTGGTCAGAAGTTTCCAATCATGTTGAATGTTATACAACTATTTTAAAAGGATTTATTTGAACCGTTCTGGTCTGAAGGTAACCTAACGTGCATGTTTCTGGTCTGTGGGAGGAAACCAGAGAACATGGAAAAAACAACACAAGCACGAGGAGAACGCATAAACTCCACACAAAGACCTCTGGTCTCAACTGGGGATCAAACCCACCTTCTTGCTGTGAGGCATCAGAGCAAACCACCACAACACAGTGCTGCCAAATTTACCGGTAATTTAATTTATTTTAATTTAATAAGTGGTGTTGAAGACTGTAAACTTACTTAACTTAAACAAGACACATGGTGTCTGTATAAAGTGAAACTAATAATTTAGTCTGAATTCCTTATTTCAACTTTACCAGCCCGTTCTTCTTCTAGTACAGTTTAGTTGTGCATTACCGCCACCAACTGGAAAAAAGCATGTAGTGAAATGTATCATGTCTCCCCATTATGAACAGACTGCTATTTAATCCTGTACGTCCAAATCTAAGACGTGATAAGACTATCTCTTTCCTTCTGTTTTTACCAGGTCCCCTTTTCACCCCTTTTCTGAGGTGTGTCTCAAAGCAGCTGGTTTTGAAGATTCTTAAAGTCCTGCCCCCCCTCCAGCTTCCAGACCGGTCCACTCCAGTTTGAGAGAGGGGTGTTAGCATTTTCTACTGGTGCAGAAATGTTTAATTTACAATTTAATTAAAAGATGTAAACAGAAGAAGACTTGTTCATCCAGCCTTACATGTTGGAGCCAGAGTCTGACCCAGAACCAGAGGAGACTGAAGACCACCAAAATGTAGTTGGAAAGTCCAGACCTTTTTTTGGCAGTGTCATTGCAGATAATTTGATGTAATAGTTCAGAAAACGTCATAGAAAGTAAAGAAAACTGAGCAGGCTGAAAAATGATCCAAACAGAAAGTAAAGATATCTTTGCAGCACCAGGAGAGACTAAATTCAATTTTTCTGCCTCCCAAAGACTACAAGTGCAAAACAAAAGTGGATTTTGCAGGATATGTCCACTTTAAGACCTACCATTTGCTTGTGAGTAATCATGAGTGACTGCAGCTTGTAGTTTTTCTGATAACATAAAAGTATTTTAATAGGATTTATTAAACTGTTCAGTACTGACAGAAATCCGTACTTACGCTTTGTGATATATTCTGATTTCTCCAGCAGCTCTCTGACTTGTTCCTGTCCTCCATCTTTGTTGTTGAAAAGATGAATTCTCCATGAAAACCTTCTGACAACATGTTGAAGTGAACTTAAATCCTCTGACTCTGAAATATATGTCTTTAAATCTGTCTTCAGTCCATCTCCTCCTGTGAAAAGCAGGAAACAGTTTTCCTGCCTCTGAGGTCCAACTCTCTCTGCTGCCTCTACAGCTTTCAGGTCTTCATCAGTGAACCGACCCTTTTTGATCACCAGCAGGAAAAGAGTAGGACTGGATCCCTGCAGGACAAACTGACAAAAACTTTTAATCTGCTCCTCAGATTCTAATATATCTGGAGTGTCGATCACTGAAACTAGTTTCCCAAACACTGTTCCTGTTTCCACAGAGACGTGTTTGGTCACAGATCCAAAGTTTGTTTGTGACACAAATGTTGTTCGTCCTAAAATAGTGTTTGCTGAAGCACTTTTACCAACTCCAGCTTTTCCCAGGAGGACAATTACAAGACAACTGTCCATGGTTGAACATCAGAAACCTGTCAGACAACAGAACATAAATTATTCTGTAGGTTTTCAGAGTTAAATTTATTATACAGCCCATCCAACAGCAAATTAGAGAGACAAGTTCAAGAAAAATAGTATAAAATATTGAAATAAGATTTAAATTTACATAGATAATTAACAACATGTGCTGAAATCTAACTTTTCTAAAAGTAAAACACATTACAAGTACAAGCAGAAAAAAGTAAAATAAAGCAAATCCACATGTCTGATAAAAGTTCCCAAGAGTTCAACTAAATTAAGGGAAAACATGTCCAGTCAAATTTGTGGTGTGTGTGTGTGTGTGTGTGTGTGTGTGTGTGTGTGTGTGTGTGTGTGTGTGTGTGT